CTTACTCTTTTTATTATTATTATTATTATTTTTTAAAGCTGCAGCCCCCTGAAAAAACCTGTTTCACCACCAAACAGCGCTCCAGAGAACAAGATCAAGGAGGTGAATCCTGCAGATTCTGCTGGTGCTGAGCCATACAACAATCTGTCAGATAACTAAGATATTTATAATATGTGTATCTTTAAGTGTAGTAAGTGTATCAATAAGTGTATCTTTACTTGCATTAATTTGCATTTTAAAGAGACCAATATAAGCATGAAGTAAAGGAACTCAAAAAAAACCCAAAACAAACAGAATCCACAAAAAAAATAAAAAAAAACAAAAAACAAGCCCTAAAAAAATTCCATTTTGTAGAAGTTGACGGTTTGGTCTCTTAGGTCACCACAGGATCTTCAGGCAGTTTATAAAACTCCACTGCATGCTTGAGTGGTGGCTGAAAATAAATAGCTGAATTTATAGAATGAGAAACTAATGCAGAGGAGTAAAACTTTTGCTTTCTCGCAGTCAGTTCTTATGACTCACATTGATTTCAATGGTGCCAGGATTTCATTCAGAAAGGAGAAAAACTGAAATATCAACAGAGCTGAGCATAAAACCTAAGTCCTTAGACTAATTATTAATCAGACCATGCTCTTCTCAACATTCTACATAGACTTCTCTAAACAAGGCCTTACAGAAGGGCAATGGGAACTACACAGGATAGTTTTCACTTTTACAGCTGATGAAAAAGAGAAAGCAATGTAGACTTACAAACTGTTGTTTAAATTATAAATATTTACCTAAACTCATTAACACTCGGTATCTTCTAATGTGACACTCAGAAAGTGAAACAGCGTCATGACTCAATTAGCAGTGTTTTTGCACAGTAAATTTATAAGCTAATGAAAACGTCTCAGTAAGAAATGTGCACAGAAAACACAAAGAAATTAATTCTCTAAAGTGTTCCTGTTTTTCACAAAGACCATTCAAGAGGGCTGCAATATTTTCATCTATAATGCTCATTTTTTTCCATATACATAACACAGAATTGCAAAGACAAAATAAATAAATTAGTTTGGATAAATTTATGACCCTTCCTCCAGGAAAGCTCAAGAAAACTGTGGTTTGCAAACATTGTTATTAGACCCAGAGCACATTTTCATTTTCTGTTTGAAAGGGATGCCAAACAAGATGAAGCAAAAAAGGCATGCTGACTAGAGCTACTTTGATATCATGCCTAAAACAATTTCTGGCATCCTATCAGCTAAATATTAACTCTGTAAGTGCTGCGTATCATAAAAATACCAGGAGACATACACAATAAAGAACAAAATATTGTGTCTTTAATGTAAGAAGAGTATGTCTTGTATTATATATTAATTATGAATTCCGTAGAATATGAGTTCCATTCCACAGAGTCACTTTTTTTCCTATCATGAATTTATAAATCTTTCTCAAGTCCTTTCAGACTTGATTTGAGGCATCTGATTTAAAGGTCTCCTTGACAAGATATTTACTAAGGATACCATTCAACAGACAGATCAGAGGTGAAACAGGTTTCCATGATTTCAAAGATAGTTCAATTAATTCAAAACCAATCTGGGATGCCAAAAAATGATACTACTAAGAAGGAAGTGTAAAAGAGCTGCTTCAGAAAAAATAGTGTTATATCAAAGAAAACAACTACAGCCTTGAGAAGTTTATAGGAGTAGTCAATATGTGCAGTCTAATGCAACTGTAAGGAACGCTCAGCTGCTTTAGAAAAAATACATAGTTCAGGATGTCAGTAACAGAAGTCAATAAAACACTACCAGATTATCCCAGCCTCATTTACTTCACTGTGTTCTTTAGTATAGTCAAAGCTTCATTTCATACCGAAGCCACTTGCCTCCAGAAGATATCCAGTTAACTATATTTTCAGGAAGAGCCAGGCTAAATCTGAATCTGTTCCTGATTCTGGGAGAACAGGCTTTACAGACGCAACAGCAGTAGACTGTTGCCCTTGCTGATTTTGTATTAAATTATCCAGTCCTAAACAAAATTAACTGGAAGTCAGAGAATTGTGGGAAATGACAAAAAATGCACATTACATTGCCAGAGCCCACTGAAGTAGAACTATTTCTTATGGTATGAGGATCTTGCCCTGTAAAGTCGTGCCAGCTGAGAACACTGGGAAGGTAAGACAGTAAAGTCTCGTGAACTACATGGTAGCTCTGAGGAACAGTTAACTATCTCTATGCAACTATATCTAACTATAACTATATCTATGCAATTATATCTAACTATATCTATATAACTATATCTATGCAATGCTACAGGCTGGGGGAGGAGTGGCTGGAGAGCTGCCTGGCAGAAAAGGACCTGGGGGTGTTGGTTGACAGCCGCCTGAACATGAGCCAGCAGTGTGCTCAGGTGGCCAAGAGGGCCAATGGCATCCTGGCTTGTATCAAGAATAGTGCAGCCAGCAGGACCAGGGAGGTGATAGAGCCCCTGTACTCGGCACTGGTGAGGCCGCACCTCGAGTACTGTGTTCAGTTTTGGGCCCCTCACTACAAGAAGGACATGGAGGTGCTG